TTCCGATTGATAAGCGTTATAACAATCACAGTTATAGCTTTCGAAGTTTATAGCACATTTACAATAGCGAACTAATAACAGATACTCTCTCTTGGCGCGGAGCGTTGGTTATATTTATAGCTGTGTGGAGGCTTTCTAGAAATTTCAGTCTTACGTAACAGTACTGAGCTAACACAAGTGTTTACATACACACATATATTGTTGATTCTTACTCTCGAGAATCTTCTACAACTTTGGAGAATATGCGGGAGTTTTGCAATACATATTTATCACTATAAGCCACGCATGTTTTAAAATATAAACTTAATCTAAACAAACGTTGATATTCAAATAAATATATAATAACAAATTCGTTACACCACCAACTAAAGGAAACGTTAAATTGTTGTCTTTGGCTCTTTAAATTATGTATATTCCTGATTCCAAGTATTCTAATAATTTCATATATTTATATAAACATGAAAAAAAGAATAAGCCACCTGTTCATGTCAAGTAAGTGACTTTCTACGAATCTCTCTACTAAGAATGTCGAGTGTGATTGTATTAAGCAAACTGGCAGTTTCTGTAGACAGAGCTTCAAAATATTGATGAGGTTGATCACACGTTAAGGTTTGCAGATTTTATATATTGGTTTATAACTTAGATTCCATAATATGCATGCTATAGATTATAATAGTGCTTTAAGTTCCGCAGAAAAAAATGTCAGTATATGCTAATACATAATACTATGATTTTATATTAGATATCTGACATCGGGAGATTAGTCCAGAAAATAAAATATTTATCAGATCATTTGAAATAGAAATAAAGCAGCATATGCTCTTACAAAATTTTCAAACAAGACATATTGACACGATTAAGTTTATAATAGTAGGTGAAACTATTTTTTTCCTTTATTTTATCACATAGTTAATGAAATCGCTCTGGATTGTGTAGACAAAGGTAGTGACGAAAGTGTATTCCTCATTACCCATTCTTCATCAAAATCCAATATGTCCAAAATTCCTGACGAAAGTTCTGAATCAGAAGGAAGGTATACGTGTTCAAACACAGTAAGTGTTGATATTTTTTATGCATGTTTTTCGTTTTCAAGTCATAAGGTCACTACCATGGTTTGACAGTTTTATTTCTTTTAATGAGGTAATGTATACATTTAAAATTACTTAAAAGTTCATCATTTGCTTTACACTTTAGATAATGAAATAATTTCTAGTGTTATATATGTATATATACTAGTATTTTAACTTTAGTTTCTTTGCCGAGCGTTGATAAAGAAAAGTATTTATATTATTACTACAACCACAGAAAACAAAGGATTTCAACAATGCAATTTGACAGCGTGTATCTGATTTTAATTCACCGTATATTTAAATAAGATTAAACGACAGATTGATAAGTATTTGAAATCTGAGAACTTAAACGTCAGTTCTCAGAAGTTACACTACTTGACTTTGCTCTCAGATGGGCTTAGTAAAATGAACCGTCTTAAAAGCTTGGTAAAAGATATGCAAAATCTTTCATTTATAATTTTCTGAAAATATTAATGATGAGTTGAGGTGTTATTATCTAGGTATTTTTTCTTACCTTAGACACACGTTTAACTCTTCGTATTGATTGTGTTTTATGATAAAAATATTAATAATTTTAAATATACTAGGACTTTTTCAATTAATAGAAACATAATGATTTCAATTTTTTTTCTAAATGTATTATGATTATAATCCTACATCCATAAACGTAATATTATATTAACAATCAAATATTAAACATAGAAAAACTGAGCGTTATGTTGCACAATTTATTTGATTCATTTACTGTAGGCCCGGCATGGCCAGGTAGTTAGGGCGCTCGACTCACAATCTGAGGGTCGCGAGTTCGAATCCCCGTCCCACCAAACATGCTCGCCCTTTCAGCCGTGGGGGCGTTATAATGTAACGGTCAATCCCACTATTCGTTGATAAAAGAGTAGCCCAAAAGTTAGCGGTGGGTGGTGATGACTAGCTGTCTTCCTTCTAGTCTTACACTTCTAAATTAGGGACGGCTAGCGCAGATAATCCTCGTGTAGCTTTTCGCGAAATTCAAAAACAAAACAAAACATTTACTGTAACGTTTGAGGCTTTCAAAAAAGTTCCTAAATGTCATTAGGATGTCCACAAACTGTCTTTAGGTTAAAGTGTCATGAGCCCACATATTAATATACTTATCATTGTATTTCGGTTGGAAGTAGATTCACATACCAGACTTCGTTAACGTAGAGAAAAGATCACATTTTGATACATGTTACGTTTGATAGTCGCTTGAATATATTATGGGATATGTTACGCGCAATTTTCTAAGATCGTTCTAAATAACTGATTCAATATATTTAAGTGTAAACGTAATAATCTGATCGCCATTACCCATCTTTTCAAGGCCTAACCCTATGGACTTCCTTTTGTAGGTTGTATTTACATAGAATGACTTTATAAATGGATTACTCTCATTTTATGTCCCAGGGGACACATTAAAGACGCTACAGTCGCTATAATACCATTAGTACCCTGCTACATACGTCGCAGAAGACATCAAATCAATACAAAATTTACTGAGTAAGACATGGAATGTGTTACATGCGTTCAACTGTGTTTATCAAGCGAGAACATAATTAATTTTTGCACACCCTTAACAACATTCTACAATGTAAACCAAATAGGACCTTGTTTTTGATTGTTATGAATATATTTTGCTAAACTCCAGTAGGTGTACATTTATTTATTACATTATTTTCTCTTTCCTCACCTGAAGACTTTGAATTATACATATTCGTATGTAATGCCAACCCTACATAAATAGAGTAGATCTGTTTGCCGATCAGGTTACTAAATACATGCTTCTATATCTTCAAGTTATACCCTATTGCTCAGTCCAGTGTTTCATGGCAGAGAGTGTTTCTCGTCAGCTTTATCGTTTTGCTATGAAGTATGGCACGGTTCCCTCACTATTAGGTAGACACTCGACTTAGACACTCATAGATAAGCCTTCCTTATCCTTCGATAATGGTCGATTTAACCATTATTTTACTGCCACTGAAACACAAAAAGAACATTCACGATTTTATATGCTCATAAAGATTTTAACAAAGTTGATAGACTGTGCTGTAATTATAATATTTATGCAAAGTCTATACAAACACCGATCAGCCACTTTTATATTTTATTGTGAACAATTATACATAACAAAATAGTATTCATGTTCATTGAACACAGAAATATAAAGGCAAAAAAATTAATTAATACCTTTTTGTTTTTAATTACAAGAAAATCAAAGTATGAAAGGTTATATATCATTGCACCCTTCATTAATAGTAAAATTGGAAAACATTGCTATCTGACCAATGTTTTTTTTTCCATCCACCAGGCGTGGCCAAATGTTTAGCGTGCTCGGACGTTGAATCGTAAGTGCTCTATAAAAGTGACGGTCAAATCCCACTATTCGATCAAACAAAAATAATCCGCATGTGTGTGTTGGGTGCTGTTGGCTAGTTGTTTTACTCTAGTATATCACTTTACAATAAGGGACGTCTATTCAATATAACTTTAAAATTATTAATGACTAGTTTACAAAACCACTGGCAAAACATTTAATCATATGTACCTGATTCTTTTACAATCCCTTCCGTTCAAGTTGCAAAATTCCGAACTGCTTTGGTATTGTTCTAGGGGTATGAAAAAGTTACCTGGTATTATTCTAGGGGTACGATAAACTTATTTGGTATTATTTTAGGGGTAGGATAAACTTATTTGGTATTATTCTAGGGGTAGGATAAACTTATTTCAACCAAAAAACGCCACGAGATTGAAATCTGAAATTCTTCGTGATTTTCTCCTTTTTTTTTTTTTTTGTAAAAATAAATTTTGAAATATGACACTTAACATATTCTTTCAAAAGAATTTAAAAAAAGTCGGTAAAGAATATCTTTTCTTCATGACATATGAATTATGAATTATTAATGATAATATTGTGAAAAAATCTTACTTAAACACCCGGAATATGACCTATTTAAATATTTGGAACTTATCGCTATTTTCATAATAATAAAAACGTATCATCGTAATGTTATCTTAATGAAGAAGCATGTACCGAAAAACAATACTTCTATTACTGTTTATTCAGAAATATACACAGAGTGTCCACTTCATTAGCCTTCCACCTTTCCCCAGTAATTCTAGAACGATCATTTTTTACATAGATAATGGCATGGGCACACTTATGATCTTTACTTTGATCACAAATATTGGCAGAGAATTATATTGGTGAAATCAGCTTTCAGCTTTATCTCAAAGATTATAGTCACGCTGCCCAAGCAGGATGACTGAAGTTCGTGTCTTGCTTCTCGAACCAGTAAAGATTATAGTCACGCTGCCCAAGCAGGATGACTGAAGTTCATGTCGTGCTTCTCGAACCAGTGTCGGACAATACAAGCGTTGTTGGTTGCTGCATTATCGTTTTGGAGGAGCTCTTGGTTATTGGAGTGGAAATGTAGCGTTATAAGGAAAGATATTATCAGTAGCAACCTTCAGATATATTCTTAATATTGTTCAACCTTCTAAGTACTAATCCCTGCCACAAAAACTTTGTCGACACATCTACTCCACATCCAAAAGCTTCATTTTTCCGAACAACATAAGTGACTCATGATATCTCTACCTACTTTTAATCTATTGCCAGTAGATAAAAGCGTGAGATGTGACTCATTGTATACCACACTACAGGAAGCCTATCATTCACTGAAAACAGTTTGCGTTCTCAACACATCTGAAGCTATGTTTTCCTGTTGGCACCTGAGGTAAGCGATTGGATGTGAGCCGCCGTAAGATACCCTATGTAACGTTCTTTGAGTTACCATTTGAAGACAGTCGAATCGTAACCACTAGTGAAGTAATAAGCCAGTTGAGGCATAACCATAAGTCTTTTTACGCTTTTAGAAACCTCTCTTGTCATATTTGCAGCCAGATATTTTCAATTACCACTGCTGACAGACACTGATAACAAATGTCTTTGAATATATGATAAAGTGACGAGACATTGTATTAAGAAGCACAAATAACCAGCAGTGTATTGCAACAAAGCATTCTTCTGATTCTATAAACTGTAAATAATATTTTATACCCCTTTTTTTGTGATATATTGAGCAAAACTCTAGACTTTTTTTAATTTAACCTTCCTGTTAAGTGCAAACTACTGACTGTAAACTTTGTAGTTAGAAAAGTTAAAATACCTACAGTGAAAAATTCAGAAACAGGAATTACTTCTGAGTTTTAATATAACATAATGATTATTTTTCAAACTCTCTTTGAAAAAATCATGATATTTGTTTTATATAATTTTCCCTATTTGTTTGTTTCTAAACATAAAACTACACATTGGGCTAACTGTGATGTGCCCA